CTCCAGGAGAGAGTGAAGGACAGAGGAGCCTGGTGTGCTACAGTCCAAGGAGTTACAAAGAGTTGGACGTGACTGAGCGGCTGAACTGAGGGTACCATCCAGCTAGCATGGATGCTGGCAGATATTGCTGCATCCACGCTGAATATTAAGCCCGAAATTGTGAATGCTATATTAGAACATTTCTGGAAGGAGATATAAGCTGATGTCAGTGATTGTGTATTAACTAAGGAGCTTTTGACTGAATGTAAGCTTATAGCCAGCAAATACTCAACTTTCACAACTCAACAATAAGAAAACAGACAACCTAATTAAAAAATAGGCAAAATATTTGAATAAATACTTCACCAAAGAAGATATTCAGATGGCAAATAAGCATATAACATCATTAGTCATTAGGGAAATACAAATTAAAACCACAATAAACACTGTCACACACCTACCAGAATGGCTCACGTTTAAAAGGTTGACCATACAAAGTGCGGGTGATGACATAGAATAACTGGAATTCACTCACACAGCTGGAATGTAAAATGGGGCAAACACTTTGAAAACAGTTTGACAGTTCCTTAAAACTGTAAACATACACTTGTATGATCCAACCAACGCTTTCCTAGGTATTTCACTACATACAAATGAAAGTATAAGTTTATACAGACTTCTACACAAAAGTTTATATTAACTTTACTTGTTATAGCAAAAACTGGAAATAACTCTAATGCTCATTATTCAGTTTGGACAAATAAACTGTGATATGTTCATATGATGAAACACTACTCAGCAACAAAAAGGGATGGACAATTAATACATTCAACAGCACAAATGAATCTCAAAATACTTATACTGAGTGAAGGAAGCCAATAGTTACACCAAGTGAAAGGAACCACACTCCCAAAATAGTGTGATAGTGATAGGAAGCAGGTTAGTGGTCACCTGGAGAAAACGCAGGAGCGGAGGAACAGTGAGGGCAAACTGACCACAAAGGGTCGCCAGAACACTTCTGGGGGTAATGGATATGCTTATCACCTTGGCTGTGATTGTATACATATGTCAAAACTCAATTGTACAGTTTAATTATGTGCAGTCCATTAATTATCAATTTCACCTCAGCAAAATCGTTTTTAAAGTAGAAAAAACAAAACAGTTCATACAATCTGAATTAATATATTTTTAAGAAAATAGAAAAGAAAAAATACACAATAATGTACTCCCAAATGTTAATGGCAATTCTCTCTAGGTGGGATTATGACTTCTTCCTATCTTTGAGGGGAGAATTTTGTTCTGATTAAATATGTACTCAGTCACTCAGTTGTTGTCCAACTCTTTGCAACCCTCTGGACCGTAGCCCCACCAGGCTTCTCTGTCCATGGAATTTTCCAGGCAAGAATACTGGACTGGGTTGCCATTTCCTCCTGGAGGGGATCTTCCCAACCCAGGGACTGAACCCATGTCTTCTGCATCGCAGGCAGTTTCTTTATCTGCTCAGCCATCAGGGAGGCTCCCCTGATTAAATATACTTACTAGTTGTTCTGCAAGTGGCATATCTTATATTGCCGTCATAATATGAAACTGCACTCTGACAAAAGTATGCCTCCTCCAACGAGAAACATCCCACAGACAGCCTTCATTAATCGGGGTGAAAGTCCTAAGCTAAGGGAGTCTGGAAAGGGCCGGCCCTTGGGTGTTCAGACACTCAGATGCACCCCATCACTACATCCCAAGGTTTGGAATCCGCCCTGCATTAGCTACCGCTTCTGATAGCAGCCCCGTGATTTCCTGGTGGGAACCAATGCCTCCTGCCTTCCATTCTGTGGTTGATGGAAGCAGGGTTGTCTGCACCCCCATGCGGGGCCTGACCAGTCGGGACATCTGGCCCCCTCAGCTGCAAGAATGAGGGCAGGGACCAACGCAGGGATTTTCGGGAACTCTTGGAGAAAGGGCCCTCTCTTCTGGGGTTCCAAGCTAAGAGGATGTAAGTCCGCAGCTGCCTATGGAAGAAGAGGGAGACTTGACACCTCAGGCAAGTCCCCTTGAGAATAAAGCCAACATGGAGAGAAACAGGGAGATGAAGGGAGTTGCGTTCCTAACATTGTGGTCCAGGGATGATTAAAGCTACTTTCCACGTTTTATGAGCCAGTGAATTCCCACCTAAGCAAAAGCTTAGGTAACTGCCCTGCCCCTAAACGCCCCTCACCAACCCCAGGTCAGCAGGCATCCTCACCCCCCCACCTCTCTGTCTCCAGTGGTTGCTGCGTGGGGTCCGCATCAAGACAGAGTGGCTAGACCCTCTGCCTCTACCGTTTGGCCTCCCTCATACTTGCTGTTGAGAGAATTCCAGAGACCCTGGAGCCCAACTGCTTGATTTGAACCCTAGATCCTTCAGTTCCTAGTTGTGTGATCTGGAGTATGTTTCTGGTCCTTTCTGGCTCTTAATCGCCTCAGCTATGATAACATTACCTACCTTGTAGAATTCCTGGATTAAGTGGAAAAATAAGTAAGCAGTCAGTAAGTTTATTAACATCATCACCACTGCAGAACATAAACACCTCTCCAAATATTGGTTTTGGATCTCATTATGATTGCTTACCATTCATTTTACTCTGACTACCATTTGCTGTTTCTAAGCAGTCTACAAGAGCTGTCACTTTGGGCTCCCCAGGTTTCGGGGGCCCCTTCTAGGACACTCACCACCCTCTATTCTGTCTGGCTCTAGGTCTCTCTCCGACAGGCTGCAGACCCTGCCAGGCAGGTGGAATCCTACCCTTCAGTCCTCGGCACCCAGAAGAGTGGAGCCAGGGCTCACACGCAGGAAGATTCTGGAATCAGACTGAGGGGATGAGGTCATTCAGGAAGGCAGTCAGAGCTGCAGAGTCTAATGAGTCACACCTCCTTAGTTCTCTGATCCCCCGGTTTCGAAACCTGTTGGGGAGGAGGCAGAGAACGCCCTGGAAGTACTATGGAGTGCTAACCAGGAATACCCTTCTGAGAAGGGGTAACGCTTCCGTCAGGAGCACTCTTGTTTTTCATACCAGTCAAGCTGTCAGATTAAAACTGATGGGCCATTTCCTCAATTTTCAGCCCATGTTCTTTGGCTATTCTATGGATTCATTTCACCCAGGGCAAAAAAAACACAAAAAACAAAAAACAAAAACCTGTTGGGGGAGGAGGGGAAGAGCAAAGACTTAATAAAAAAAAAAAGAGCACATTTTTCACTGAGTTAATTCTACCCATTGACTTTTGTTTTATAGAAGGATTAGGAAAGATGACGAATTTGTCCTGGTCTGCTCTGTCCCACTCTCAGCCCTTGGCCATTTTAGAAAATCCGCTCCATCCCTGGTCCTGAGTCCCTGCCAATCCCAGCATTCTCTTCTTGGCCTAAGCACCATTTCCCCCAAAATAAAGTCCCAAAGAGAAAAGGGAGTGGATGCAGTGGCCACTGCGGTTAGGTGTGAGCTCTTGGCCTGAGCTTTGTCTTTAAATCCTCCCTGTGTCCCTAAGAGAGGTCAGCGCTTAGGCTGTCCCTGTGTTCCAGAGCGGGGAACCACAGAGGGGCAGCCCCTGCCAGGCAGAGGGCGACCCCCCAAAGGCGGCCCTGCTGACCGCCACCCACTGTGGTGTACTGGCGATGCCTCAGGCCCTGGGGCTTTGCTGCCGGGTACTGAGCAGGGGGGTGATAACACCCACCTCCCCTCACCCCAGCCTGCAGCCCTTCATTCCCGACAGCGTGGCTGAGACTCCCGCCTGGTATCTCTTAGATTAGCCCCCAGCTATTTTTATTCTGCCCCTTGCTGAGGGAAGAAACACAAGTTTGGACAAACCCTCAGGCCAGGCTCCAGGGGAGACCACCATTGCCAAAGAAGAAAAGAGAGCTTACTTTACATGTTACTATCCTTTTCAAAACATCTTTTTCCTTAGAAGCCAAATTGAGCCAGCCTGCCAGACTGCCTCCAGCAGGGCCTTTTTGACCCCAGAACTCACTCACACAGCAGATGGAGGCAGACTTTCAGAGTCCTGGGGACTTGGGCCTGTTGAATTAAAGTCCCATCTACTGGGCTAGTGGGAAGAGGTGTTCTGGAGAGGCACTTGCTGCTGGGAAAAGGAACCAGAAGAGGAAGTGGGAGGGTGTCAGGGACACAGGGAAACCTAGAGAAAGCCAGGCTGTGCTGGGAGGGCGAGGTCAGGGCCGGGCCAGGGTGGAGGGGTCGCGGGGACGTCTGAATGAAGGTGACGGGGTCCAGAGCTCACCTGAGCAGAGATAAAGCTTTGAAGACTTTATTCCACTTTTGAATCTTATTTATTAAAAGTTTTTTAAAAATGTATTTTATTGGAGTGTAGTTGATTGACAATGTGTTCATTTCTGCTTACAGCCAAGTGACTTGGTTACACACATACGTATATTCTTTTTCATATTCCTTTTTTCCATTATGGTTAATCACAGGATGCTGAATATAGTTCCCTGTGCTATACTATTTTTAAAGTTTTATTTTATTGAAGTTGGTTTGCAATGCTGTTTTAGTTTCTGCTGTATACACATACATATTCTTTTTCATAGTCTCTTTCTGGAGTCCTTGATGATGACCCTACAGATGACAGAGACAGCTCTGAGGACAAGGTGGATGGCCTTGGCTTTGAGAATAGGTAGTGCAGGAGAGTGAGGAAGACCTAAGCCAGCATTTTAGGCTGAATAGAAGATAAAGCAAGAGGAGGCAGGAGTGGCTGAGGACACAAGAGGGAAACGGGGCGGTGGGGGGGTGGTGGTGTGTGTGTCCCAGAGGCTGGGGGCTTCCGGGAAGGTGCAAGGAGGTAGGTGGGGTGATGCCTTCAGTCCAGCAGCCTGGAGATAACTGATGACCTCAGCAAAGCTTGTTTTGGGGAGAATGATGGTGATCAGTTCAGTTCAGCTCAGTCGCTGAGTTGAGTCCAACTCTTTGCGACCCCATGGACTGAAGCATGCCAGGCATCCCTGTCCATCACCAACTAACTCCCTGAGTTTTCTCAAACTCATGTCCATTGAGTCGGTGATGCCATCCAACCATCTCATCCTCTGTCATCCCCTTCTCTTCCCACCTTCAATCTTTCCCAGAATCAGGGTCTTTTCAAGTGAGTCAGTTATTCACATCAAGTGGCCAAAGTATTGGAGTTTCAGCTTCCGCATCAGTCCTTCCAATGAATATTCAGGACTGATGTCCTTTAGGATGGACTGGCTGGATCTCCTTGCAGTCCAAGGGGCTCTCAAGAGTCTTCTCCAACACCACAGTTCAAAAGCATCCATTCTTCGTAATAGAAGACAGATTGAAGGAGCCTGGCGAGTGGGAGCTAAGGAGATGTGTCACAGAAGTCTGGCAGAAAAGAGAAAGACAAAGCAATGGCTCAAGAGGGAAACAAACTCTTCCGTGTCTTTTCCAGAGGGACGCCTCTGCCTGCACGGGTCCCCCCAGCCAGCACCCAGGACGCCTTCACTGTCATTCTGTATTGTCCCGAAGGGCAGGGCCTCCATTCCTCTGCGGTCCTCAGGCACCTAACACACACGGGGAGCTCAGCAAACATTCGATGCTTTGGATGATGTTGACCACAACAATGACAACAACAATGGAGACAGTGATGAAAATACAGATTCTTGAAGGTCGGAAAATCTCCTGTTTGGAGGATTAAAGGAATAGACTCCGAGAAATCTAGCTGGTCAGAGCACCTCCTCTGTCTCTGGTGATCTCTGTCAGTCCCTGTCTGCTGATTCCTCTTTTCTCTTCATCCTTATTTCTTCTCTGCCTATACTCAGGCCTCTGGGTGGATGTCATCCAACCTCATCGCTTTAAGTTCTGTGTGCCAGAGATTTCCAAATAGAAGATTTCCAAAGCTGCCATCTGTCACCTTGACTTGGGTGTCTTTGTGTAGGGCACAACTTTTGAAAGAATGACCTAGTCCAAGGACACAACATAAACCAATTAGAATCAAATGGGACCAGGACTGATCCTCAATCTGAACTGAAGCAACTGAAGTGACACACCCAGAGGCACCATGACAGTTCCAAGGCACTGTCAAAAGGCCAAGGAGTGGGCCGTGGCCCAAGTCCTGGGAATCTCCGCCCCTTCCCCCAAATAGCTGGAATAACCCTCCCGCTCATTAGCACATGACATTACCCAGCCTATAAAAACTAACCACGCCACATTGTGCAGCCGCTCTCACCCTCTGTGTTGGAGGGTGCTGTGGACTGCGATGCTCTCCGAATCTGAATAATACACTTCTCACCTATCACTTTGTCCCTCACTGAATTCTTTCCATGATGAGACATCAAGAGCTTTACCAGGCCCTGAAACCAGGTACTGTAGGTTTTGGCTGGGTTCGAGTCCCAGAACATGTGTTTAAGTCCCAGTCTGAGATAAACAGTTTCATGGACACGTCTCAAGGTGTCCAAAGCCCAGCTCCTGACTGTCTTCTTCCTTTGGTTACTCAGGGCCAAGATCTCATAGTTCTTTGCTCTCCTTCCTTCAAAAAAAATACCCATTCCTTCCGGGAACCCTGTCCAGCTGGGTTGGTCCTCCCTTCAGAATACATCCAGAATGTGACTGCCTCCTGCCCCCTACTGCTATCCACCAGGTGTGGGTCGCTATGACCTGCTGCCAGGCTGGCTGCCGTGGGCGCCCAACTGGTCTCCCTGCCCTGCCTGTGTCCCCCTCACTTTTTTTTTTTTAAACAAACATTTAAAATTTTATTTCTTTATTTGGTTGCAAGGTCCTAGTTGCAGCACATGGGATCTTCATTCTTTGTTGTAGCATGCAGGATCTTCAGTTGTGGCATGTGAACTGTTACTTGCAGCATGTGGGATCTAGTTCCCTTATCCTTATCCAAGGCCCCCTTGCATGGGGATCTCAGAGTCTGAGCCACTGGCCCACCAGGGGAGTCCTCAGTATCCCTTTCATTTTGTTATCAACACATGTCATATGAAGCCACTCCTCTGCTCCAAGCCCCATGATGGCTCCCCATGTCCCTTAGAGTACAGGCCAACCCTTCCAGTGACCTACAAAGCAGTCATGATTTAGTCTCCCACCGTCTCTTTGACCACCTATTACTCCTGTCCCTCTCACTCTGTTCTAGCCATGCTGACTTCCTTGCTAGTCCCCACATTTGCCAGTCATGGTCCAATTTTGTTTTTCTTCCCCCAGATCAAGCAATTCTCCAACATCAGCTGGGTGTCTATGATCCAACTCAATTGTAACACTATCTACCTAGAGATGGGCTTCCCTGGTGGATCAGAAGGTAAAGAATTCACCTGCAATGCGGGAGACCTGGATTTGATCCTGGGTCATGAAGATCCCCTGGAGAAGGGAATGGCTACCCACTCCAGTATTCTTGCCTGGAGAATCTCATGGACAGAGGAGCCTGGAGGGCTACAGAGTTGCAAAGAGCCAACAACTAACAACTGAGCAACTAGCACACTTTTTTTCCCCCCCAACCTGGAGATAGCATCAGATCTCCCATATTAAGTCCTCTGGGACTCCTTCTAGCCCCAACCACTCAACTCCAACCACAAGTCCAGTTTGTCACCTGTGATTCTAACCAACAGGCTATAAATGGGAGGTCCCCACGAACCCCTCCTCCTTGGGTCTGTTTAGTTTGTTAGTGTGACTCACAGAACTCAGAGAAACATTTAATTTACAAGAGCAGCACCAGTTTATCATAAGAGGATGTAACTCAGGAACTTCCAGATGGCAGAGAGGCAAAGGCCGAGGTGTCCCCAAGAGGTGGAGTGCCCCTGCTTCCCTACAGTGCACCTCTCCCCGCAGTCTCCAGATGCTCACCAACCGGGGCGCGCTGTGAACCCCATCCTTGTGGATTTTACAGAGGCTTCATTACATAGTCATGGTTGGTTACATCACTGGCAACGGGTGACTGAAGTCAAGCCCTGGCTCCTTTCCCATCCTTGAAGGTCAGGGTGGGGCTGAAAGTTCCAACCCTCTAATCATGTGATTGTGTTCCCTTGGTAACCAACCCCATCCTTAGAGCTTTCCCAAGTCACCTTATGAACATAACAAAAGACAATTTTATCACTCTCCTTCAGAACAAATTCCTATGGTTTTAGGAGTTCTGTGCCAGGAACATGATGAAGATATTCAAAATCACAATGTCACAGATGCTCTTACTGTAGTCCTTTGCTCTAGATGGTCCCTGAGTGGTGCCTTCTTCCCCCCTTCTTCCCACTCTGTTCAAACCCTGCCTCCCCAGTGAGGCCACCTGTGAGCCCCTTCCTTAATATTGCAAACCTTCCTTCCCTCCCCCCTTTCCAAATCTCCATTAGCTAGTGCCACATTTTCCAAAACACTTTTCTAACACAATGAATGACTTATCCAGTATGTTTATTTTTTATTGAAGTATATTCAGGTATTAGTAATATTAATTTCAGGTATACAGCTTAGTGATTCAGTATTTTTGCAGATTATACTCCATTTTAAGTTATTATAAGATAATGGCTATAATTCTCTGTGCTATACAATATACCCTTGTTTATCTATTTTATACACAGCAGTTTGTGTGTTAATCCTACACCCCTCATTTGTCCCCTTCCCTTCCCTCTCCCCTTTGGCAACCCCGTGCTACAAGTTCCAAGATGGCAGGGAATCTCTGTTTTGTTCACTGAATACCCCTAACACAGTGCCAGGGACAAAGTAGGTGTTCGGTAAATACCTGAATAAACAGTCCCTTGAAGACTGTTCTAATACTATTAATACCATGACTGTCAGCTAGCAAAATAAATATAAGCTTGCCTTACTGTTTAACTTATGGTTGCCAGAGGGAAGAGATAGTTAAGGATGTTGGGAAGGTCATGTACACACTGCTATATTTAAAATGGATAACCAACAAAGACCTATTGTATAGCACACGGAACTGCTCAGTATTTTGTGCCAGCCTGGATGGGAGGTGGGTCTGGGGGAGAACGGATACATGTACATGCATGACTGAGTCCCTTCACTGTTCACCTGAAACCATCACAACACTGCTAATCGGCTAGACCCCAACACAAAGTGTTTTTGGTGTTACAAGTTTTTTAATTAAAACAAAATTAAAAAGTGAATTAAGGTAATTCATGAAATGTGTTCCAAAAACTATACAGGTGAACTTTGTTCATTTGCATGTTTGTTTAAAAATATACATATGTATATATACATTTCATTTGGATGAATGGAAATAGTCTACAGCAAGACCATAAGCATGAAATGTGAGCACTGCCCCCTCCTGGTTGAACATGGAGACGCAGCTTTCCACACTGCCAGCCCCATTGGGGACAAGTTAGGACTCGGCTGGCTGATGGGGGTTGCAAGACATGCTATCGAAGGCGTTTCAAACTGGATCAAATTCAACCCTATTTTCAAAAGGAGGCAAGAAGAGGATTAACGTATCAAAGGCAGAATTTTCAGCAGTACAGAGCCCACACATTTACATATCATGAAGAGGATGTTGACAATTAGTGGGAAGTAGTAAAGAAAAACGTTAAGACAAGACAACCCTAAAATGATCACATCCATCTGCTGCACTTACAGCTGGAATCTGAGTGGGAATTTCCCATCTGTGCTTTAGTCTCAGCTTTAATTTGACTATAAATAAGACACACGCGTGCAAAACTTACAATGAGCGGCTTCTGGGCCAGGAGCTGTTTAAGGATGATATATATAAACTGTGTGCACACCCTGTAACTAAGAACCCACTCAGTACACTAGTCAGTCTGAGGTGTGCAGCCAATCTCACATAACTTGGTCCCAGGATGATCTGACTGACACTTCATAATGGAGGTCTTAACATTGACAGCCTCTGCTCAAACAGATCCAAATAGAACTTTTGATGCCCAGGCCGGCCTCCCATGGAGAACCTAGCTGTTTGCTTGAAAGCTCAGGGCCCAGAGGCCTGACGGTGGCTGGATGTGGGAAGTCCACGGCTCAGTCAGACAGAAGCGGCACTTGCTACCTTACATTCTTGTGGATTCTCTAATGGAGTCTACAAGCATCTCTATAGAGACCATCACCCACACTGCACAGGCAGGGAAGTTGAGGCTTAGTGACATAAGGTAACTTGCCGTGGTCATGTGGTTTCTTAGCAGCAGAACCAAGACTCAAAACCAACTCTTTTAACTAAGGTTCAAATCCACATTCTTTCCACTTTCTCCTCTGCCCCCACATTACCCTCCCAGGGCCTCTGGGGCTATAAATAGTGGGGGAGGCTGGGATTTTGTGGGCGAGGTCAGCCAGGCCTTTAGCACAAGGAGACACTAACATCTCCCAACCGAGCCTGGCTTGGGCCCTGCTCCCCGCCAGGTCTCAATAGAACTCAGGCCCAGACAGGCCCCAGCTTATCACTAGCTTCACTCTCTGGGTTATATTTAGCCCTGGACCTCAAAGAGAAAGGTGTGGGCCAGCCCCTGAGACAGCGCACACCCCCCAGCCACTGTGTGCAGAGAGGGTGTCCGCCCTGGCCTCTTCAGACATTGCTGCGAGCCGCCACCAGCGGGAGGTGCACACTCCATCCTGAGGGCCTGTGGGATCTTGTCTGTCTTGCTCGTTGGGGGACCATGGCAGCCTCTAGAACACTCTGCTTCTGTGTGGCTGTTGCTTAATAATTCTTTGTTGAGCAAACAAATCGATGATCCGAGTTCAAGTTCTAGATAGCTGGACATCAAGCACAGGCACACGAATCCCCAGAGGAATGCCTTAGAAAACCAAATGCATTTCATGCTATTAAATACAGTCAACTTTATTCAAGGAATGGATGTGAGTTTTCACCCTCCTTCTCCCCCTCTTCTCTTCCCTCCTCCAGACCTGGCATTAAGGCTGCAAGGGGCGGGGGACATGGGAGGGACATCAAATCCTGGAGGCCAGCCCGGGTGCCCCAAGCGACTGCCACCCCAGTGAGTGAGGGCTCTCGGCATCCCTGCAGGTGTCCCGATGACAGGCTCCCTCCTGGTCCTCTGCTCAGCCAGCACACCAGCCCCTGCAGAAACTCCTGGGGCTGCCTCCATCTCGCCTGCTTTGCACCTGAAGCAGGCTGGGGCCAGAGCTCAGGAGTGCGGCCAGACCCTGACAGCAGAGTTCAGAGGGCAGAAGCTGGCAGCTCTCAGACCTCACAAAAATGGAAAGAGCCGTTTTTTCAAAATATAGAGGACTGTAGCAAGAAAGAGGGCCAGCGCAAGGAAAATGAGAAGCTTGTCTGTCAGCTCTCGGCGATTATATTTTGTGATGAGCTTCCGTCCCAACTGGATGGTCCCTGACATGGATTTGAATTCTTCATTTGCATCCAGGATAGTCCGTGAAGAATTAACTGAAACAAAAGAGGGAGGGAGCATGACTCAGAAACTGTATGGCACCACACCCAGAGGCCTCGCTGGCCGGGCTCCCAGTGTAACACTGCGCGTGGGAGCAAGGTCCCCTGAGCCAGGACAAAAGATGTGAAGACAGGCAACGCGGAGGAGCAAGAACAAGGACAGGGAGAGGAGAGGCAGCTCCCTGGGTTCCACCCAGCTGAGAGCGGGGTGTGGTTTGCTTACACATATAGTCACAGGGCCGTAACTAGGAGTCCTCCCAACGTGGACACCAACAGGGAAAAGGGCAGAGAACGGCTCCTTTCCTCACCACCAACCTCCACTTTCTGAAGGAGGCAGGCGCTGCTGAGAAGGACCGGTGGTCACAAAACTAACCCAGGTGACCGTGGACAGGCACTGTGAGGTCTCTGTGGGGACAGGACTCTGCACCTGCGAGGTGCACCCTGCCAGGACACCTGCTGGTCAGATCTGCTCTTTGCAGATCCACTCCCTGTGAAAGAGCTGGGGTGTCCTGGGCCCTGCCACACGCCCTCATACAAGCCAGTCCTTCAGTCCGGGGACACTGGCTATAGTGTTAAACACATGATGCCCGTGCTCCAGCCCCCTGGGAAGAGGCACGCGTCCCTTAAGGTTCATTGTGCCCACGCATCAAATGAACTGGAGTGCCGGTTACTGGGCCTGAGGCTTAGGGAAGAAGGCTTACCTGGCAAGATTCCTCTATAAAGCCTAACAGGGCATCATCAGAATATCCCCAGAGTGAAGAGCTGTCAAGTGAGACGGCCGGGTGTGAAGAACAGCATGTGAGATGCTTCCATATACGTAACAAAGGAGGGGATCACTAACACCTGTTTGTACTATGCACGCTGGAGAGTCTCAGAAGGTTATGAGAGAAAGTGGGAGCAGTGGGCGCCTCTGGGGAGCAGGCCTGGAGGTCGGGGAAGGGGGAGGTCTGAAGGCAGAGCTGTTCCCGCCTGTGCCGTCCAGGGCTGTGCAGCCAGTGCTGATTGCAACAAGCCACGCGGCCCGTGAGTGAGTCAAACGTGCCCCATCCAAACCGCGACGTCCCTATAGGCAGATACCCACATGATTTCAGAGATTCAGTATGGAAAAAGAGAGATGTAAAATCTCTCATAGTAATTTTCACTATGAATTGCATATTGGAATATTTAAATATATTATCACAATCAATTTCATACCTTTGTTTTTACTTTTTTTAATGTGCCTAATGAAAATTTTAAGCATGTGGCTCCCATGATGTTTCTATAGGACAGTGCTGACCTGGAGGGCTCTTCCCTTGACTATGTCATTTATTTTACCTTTTTACAAAATTACAAGTTAGTAAGCGAATAAATTACCAGAGGAAGTAGAGCAGTAGCCCGAAAAACACAGATGAGTACAAACACACGCTCAGATAACAAAAGTCCCTCTCAGTCCTTTCTCCACGCCTCCTGCCATGCTGAAAACCTAAGTAAGACTCTCTGAAGTAAAAATCTAACTGGCTTTTCCTTTTAAGCTTTCTTTACAGAGAACTTTAACCATCACAAAAGCAGACAGAACAGAATCATGAAATGCCAAGTGCCATCGCCTATACCCAAGAACCATCAACTCCCTGGTAATCCTGTCCCCTCATAACCCCCATACGATTCTGGCCCCCCTACAATTTTGCAGCAAATTCCAGACATCATATCCTTAATGGGCTTTAAACACACACACACACACACACACACACACACACACACACACACACACAGAGAACTGCAGTCCTAATAGATTTTTAAATCAAGCTGAATTTATGAGTCATAAGCAAGGATTAATAACCATTCTTCTTTCTTCAATGGCCATCTCGCCTCTAACGTTTGCCCCCAAAACAACCCTCAACACCCCAGAAACCACCAGGATCTGTGTCCCCTTCTGAGCACGTAAATATATGGTCAGTTTCTGACCTGCATGCTGGGGTGGGTGCCTGTTACTCACACCAGAGCAGAAAAGCCCTGGACTCCAAGGCCAGGCCGGCTCCTCCTGCTCACATTCTCCTCGGGCCATGGCCCCAGCACACACTCAGAGGAGGTGACCGGCTGGTTCTGAGCCTATAAATGCCCAGATAAGTTTCAAACACAGGCAGTGACCTCGGGGACAAGCTCCTTGATTTTCTTTTTGCTTCTGCCTGTTAGGATAGTGCACTGGAAACAAACAAACAAAAAGAGTGGTTCAAAATTGCAGATAATTTTTAGGGGTGATGCTGGTATTATAGTTTTTTGTTTCAAAAGTCTATCTTTTAGAAAGATATATGGAAGTATTTATATGGATGACGTCTGAGATTTGCTTCAAAGTAATAAAGATGGGGGCAGAGTGAGGACAGAGTTGAAAGACTGGCCAGGAGCTGACCACTGCTGAAGCTGCGTGATGGTTCCTGGGACTCACGTACAAGGCTCTCTACTTTCGTACTGTGTGAAGCCTCCAAAGCTATCTCAGAGTAAATGCTCTTCCTCTGTTTTCCTATAGGGAGGATCCTGGGCAGATAAGCCATGCTGGGAAAGCTGCTGGGGAGAACCAGATGATCTCAAGAAGCTCAGCCTCTGATGTCTTTCAAAAGGAGCTCCCAGGACTTCCCTGGTTGTCCAGTGGGGAAGACGCCATGTGTCCAATGCAAGGGGCATGAGTTTGATCCCCAGTAGGGAAACTAGGGTCCCACATGCTACATGGCGCAGCCAAGAAGTAAAAAATACATATGTAAATATATAAATAAAAGGAGCTCACAGTAAAAGCAACACTGGGGAGTACAATTCTAAGTTGACGTCCTAGTAGACCAGCTGGCAGCCAATAACCAATCATCTCTCTGCCTGGCCAGAAGGGTCCCCAGAGCCTGAGATGAAAGACAGACTCCCAAGCTCCCCGCTACGCCTGTTGGCACCCACTCTCCAGGAGAGTCCTTCTGAACGTATTGATGGGGTGTGTGGATCTCTCAGGACAACTATAAAAACCAAAATGGGAAATGAGAGCAGTGCATCCCAACTGGGTAAGACCAAGCCGTCACAGAAATGAGAAGCCACACAGATCAGTAAGGCGAGGCAGGTGTGGGCAGAGGCCGAGGAGCCCAGGCGTGAGAGGTCTGGAGCCCGGCGGCAGCCTGCCACCGTAGGCCTGGCCTGACTTTACCCAGCGTCTGCATGGCTTCCTCGCTCTGCTGGACCTGCTGGGACATCATCCTGCTGATCCCCATGAGGCTCTCTGTGATGGCGCTAGACGTCTGGGCCAGGCTCTCTTTGGCAGTTTTCCTAGAAGTACAGAGTGGGAGGAGGAATGTCAACAAATGCCCAGCTCAAGAAAGCACCGGATTCAAAGAAGATCCCACATTTTAATCTATCAAATCAGTACATATTTTTTAAATGGTCATACTTAATGGTGGCAAAGGACTTCCTCCAATGGCTCAGTGGTGAAGAATCCACCTGCAAGGCAGGAGACTCGGGAGAAGAGGGTTCGATCCCTGGGTTGAGAAGGTCCCCTCAAGGAGGAAATGGCAACCCACTCCAGTATTCTTGCTTGGGAAATTCCATGGACAGAGGAGTCTGGCAGGCTATAGTCCATGGGTTCACAAAGAGCCTGACATGACTGAGCGGCTCAGCACACATGCGATGGTGGCAAGGGCATGCCGAGAGCACGTACTTGAAGACTGCTGGTAGGAACGTCCACTGGTGCTACCTTCTGAGAGCCAACTGGCAATATGTATTAGGAGTCTTAGCAATGTTCATGCCTTTGACCCAATAATCTCATCCCTGGGAATCTCTCCAAAGGAAATACACAGAATATGGACAAAGCGTTATGTCTGACATGTGCCCTGGCGTGTTGTTCATAATACTGACATAACTAGACATACAAACACACACAAGCAGGGGATTCGTTAATATAAGGGAATACTACGTACTATTAAACTTTTGCTTAAAGAGCTTTTTAAAAAAACAGGATGTCTTTGTGCAATAATACTAAGTGAAGAATAGGAGACTACATTTAACATTCAGTTCAGTTCAGTTGCTCAGTTGTGTCCCACTCTTTGTGACCTCAAGAACTGCAGCACACCAGACTTCCCTGTCCACCACCAACTCCCGGAGCCTGCTCAAACTCATCTCCATTGAGTTGGTGATGCCATCCAACCATCTCATCTTCTGTTGTCCCCTTCTCCTCCTGCCTTCAACCTTTGTCAGCATCAGGGTCTTTTCCAATGAGTCAGTTCTTCGCATCAGGTGGCCAAAGTATTGGAGCTTCAGCTTCAGCGTCAGTCCTTCCAATGAACACCCAGGACTGATCTTCTTTAGGATGGACTGGCTGGATCTCCTTGCAGTCCAAGGGACTCTCAGGAGTCTTCTCCAATACCACAGTTCAAAAGCATCAATTCTTCGGTGCTCAGCTTTCTTTATGGC